AGTACTGGACAGCTGTTTCGTCCTAGTTTGGGATTCTTCATCACCACACGTACCCACCGAGGTTCGAACTGATGAAGAGTATTAAAATAGGACGAAACAGCTGTCTAGTACTCCAGTGTTGGTTTTCCAATGGTTATCTAACTGATGTCAGCTCATGATGAAATCCTCCAACTTTTGACATTTCTTTTGTATGCACATCTAGAGCTTAGCTTCCCTACTTCGGCATTAAGGTCACCTGCTAAGATGGTTATATTTCGGTATTTTTAGTTATATAAGCAAACGAATCCAATGCTGATGAAACTCACTCTTTACTTCGTCTGAACCAATGGATGAGATAACTTGGATTATGAAAAGACACAACTAGATTCTAGAGTCGGCAAGGAGACATAGAAACAACTATCGACTATTATTTATTATTGTTATTTATTTTTTATCCATATGCTTTCCAAGTGGAACATCGGGCTTCAAGCTAGGGCTTTGAAGTTTCAGTAGCAGTTATGTTTTTTTACGGAGTGGGGCTGCTAGGCTCCCACCCAACCTTCCCTTTATGCTGGGATCATAACCAGCTAAGGGAGGTAAGGGTGCTCACCGGCTGGGACTCGAACCCCAGACCACGTGCATGATTGGCCAGCACTCTACCGCTAAACCAATGACGCCGAACTTTTGGTAATTGTCGGGAATTGACAGTCCTCCATGTTATGCTAGTACCTAGGATATCATCTTGTGTTCACTATATTTCTCAATCTAGTATAGCATAGTCACCTTGCCTATTTTATAACTCCAGTTAATAAAACTGTATCACTAAATGGTCACAGGATTTCATCATGATCTGACATCGGTTAGAGAACCTTTGGAAAATCTGGGAGTACTGGACAGCTGTTTCGTCCCATTTTGTGACTCTTCATCAGTACGCACCCACCATTAGGGTTTGGACCCACAACCTTCTGGTTACAAGGCGAGCTTGTAGACCATTAAGCCATTGGGACCCGATCCAACGGCCAGCACACGAATTCCAACTTCTGCCGATTCACGAAATAGCGCGACTGCTAGCCCATGTCTTCGGCGAGTATTTGTCCTCATACCTGACCTGCTGCACCCTGTTGAACACGAATTCCCACTAGAAGCCCAGATAACTACCTACCTGTATAGGGCCAATAGCTGCTGAGTGTCTGATTGATTTTCAAGTATTGGTTTGTGAGGACTTGATTGACTGGTTACAGGATTTCATCATGAGCCGACATCATTAATTGTCTGTTGCATCAAATAAGCTTATCTAGTGTGGTATTATGCGCTGCGGCACTGCAGGATTTGACTGACACGTTGGAAAAGAACAGACAGAAAGTAATCGTATTGGTTTTTAACACTGATTATTTTCGATAAAATAGGCGATGACTGAAAGTAAAGTCAGATTAAGGATTGTTTTAGGAATCAAACCACCGACCTATGAATTACTAGTCCAATATTTTGCTGTCTGATCTACTAGATTCTACTGCTAGACAGATCAGCGTTTCACACCTTTATTCACCACTCCATTGCACTAGTAACAATTTACCAATTCAAGGTTATCACAGCTTCACTATTAAGTAGGTTTTTTTACAGGTTGGTAAGATGCAAAGAGTCCTTCATCATGTGAATCCACTAGTTTGAATATCATTATCAATGACTCTAGAAGACAAAAATAGATTGATAGAAGAGATACTCACTTTTCAATTAGAGCCTCAACTATGGCTCTACTCTAATATACATAGATATATTATTATTATTGTTCCCTTGGGTTCCTAGTGGAATATAGGGCTTCAGCTGCACGTCTCCACTTGCTTCTGTCTTCTGCTGTACTTTTCACCTGCATCCATGTTAGTCCATGCTGTTTCAGCTCCTCTTCACACGATCTCCTCCATGTCACCCTTGGACGTCCCACTCGCCGCTTCCCTTTCGGTTTCCACTCGAGCTATGGCCTGACGCGCGATGTCACCGAGCGGCCTCCTCACCGAGTGTCCAATCCATCTCCACTTTCTCCTGCATATTTGTTGTTTGGCGATTGGTTCTTGTTTTGTTTGTTCCCATAGTTTCTTGTTGGTTCTTGTTCTTTCCGGCCATCTGATCTTCAGTATTGAACGAAGACAGCTGTTGATAAAGGTGTGCAACAGGCTGTTGGAAATATTCTTTGTGACCCGCTGCGAAGTTTCTGATCCGTATAGAAGAACTGACTGACTTGACGTTTGTATTGAAAATCCGAATCACTTTGTTGTTGATGCAGGCTGAATGACAGCGGAAGATTTCCAGATTGGTTTCAGGTGGATGAATGTGTTTCTCGCCTTCCCGATTCTCGCTCGATTTGACATCCTCATCCGTTCCTCGTGTAGTTGAGACAATGCTCCCTAGGTGATAAGTGAATGAGGTAACCTCTTCCAAATCCCTCCCGTTGATGGTGATTGGCGCTGGATGTTGCTGCTGCTTCTGTTGTTGTTGGTTGGTTATTTTCATAACCTCCGTCTTGTCTATGTTCACCTGGAGTCCTGTCTTCACTGCCTACTTCTTCGACCAGTTTGTCGGTTTTCGCTTGTAAGCCTTAATATATAATACAGAGATTTACAAGTCTACTAGTGATTAATATATTAACAGTAATTAGACAAAGGGGTGATAATGAACCACGAAAATTAATCCAACAATTAAAGCGTAGAAATAATAGCAAACATCAAATCCAGTAGTTTTACACATTATGCCAAATTTTGGGAAAATAAGAAGAGTAATAAAGATATAAATGGGTGCTCAAATTGATTATGTAATATGCAAGAGTCACTTAGCAGGCAGGGATTTGATCTGTTTAAAGTCTGATCACCACAGACTGACATTAGTTAAAGAACTACCGAACACCAGGAATAGTGAACAGCTGTTTCGTCCTAGTTTGGGACTTTTAGGCAATAGGCAATAGCCACGACTACACCGGAGATTGAGCTTAGGACTTTCATGTTACAAAGGCAAGGGTAGTAATAGACAGTTAAGAATGAAGTAGTCAGAATAATACGATAGTTAAGACAATAATAACTTGTAAATGGATTAGGAGGCGGGGGAAAATTGTCAGTTGCTTACGTTCATGTAATGATGGCAATAGTAAAGAAGGTGGCTGCATTAATTTCTTCTGAATTAGATAAGTTTGCCGCCTTTAGATGGCTTAAGATATGTGCACAACATGTAATGGTAAGGCGAGACTGATATTAGTCGGAGTAACATAAGCAACAATCTTCAAGTTATACTAAAACAGAGCCATGAATAAATCTTGTTTGTCTTTTGCTTAACCATGCAAGATGATGTTCGGAAATCCATTGATGAACATGCCTAAGTGTAAGTTCAGTGTAATCAGCTTCACAGGGGCAATCAAACTGGTAGATAAACATTGATGAGGCGAAATAATGCAGTTTAACCTTATTTGTGGCACTTAAAATTGGCGTGATTGTGAAGAGACAGTGTACCTCTGGTGTGAGGATGGACACTCGCTCGCGGTGACACTAAACACCGAGAATTGACAGGAGCTGGAAACATTGGGTCATTGGGTTCTGTTCAAGTGGCTGAATAGTCAATGAAGTCGCCTTGTAACCTGAAGTTCCTGAGGTCGATTTCTCGTGGGTGCATCTCCCGACGGATCTCAAACAGAGAGGAAACTCCTGTTCAGTAAGTATTCCATAGTTTTCGGTGGTTCTCTCACTGGATTCATTTAGGGATTCAACTCAAAATAATAATGGTTTCTGGGACCCAATCATATTTGGAAGCAGAATTGGTTATCTCGCTAAATGATGTACATTTATGGTGAAATTCAGAAGCTTTACATTTGAAATCTTCTTGTGTACATGTTCGTCGTATTTTATCTCATTTGCCCTCTTCTCATGTTTTTATGTACTGATTTATGAGACCTTTCATTCCTCTTCTGTCTGCAACTTAATCCGTTTTACAACCGCTGAACATCCTTGCAGAAGACGTCATACACACAGTTTACTACTTACGAAAATTCTTATCAGTAGTAGTACCGAAATGGCTAACTTATCGCAGAGAAAAAAGAAAAGCATTTTTTGAAATAAACAAAAAAATTATGAAAAGTATCACTTAGAATTAAGGAAATAACTGGTTACATTAATTTTCAAGTATTGGTTTTGTAGGGAGTTTGATTCATTGCATAGAGGATTTCATCATGAGCTGACATCAGTTAGAGAACCACTGGAAAACCTGCAGGGAGTACTAGACAGCTGTTTCGTCCTAGTTTGGGACTTTTCAGCAGTACTCACCCATTATTACGTATAGTCATGCTATCGTCAACAAGATGGAATCGGCATCTAGGATTCTACTGTTTCTCTCCATTGATTTAATAATCGAAATTTGAAATAGTAAATTTCCCTGGGGATCTTGATTAATTTCAATGGAGATTTCGCCGAAAACCAACGTCAGTCACAGGATACATATCTCGAAGTTTTAGCTGGAAGTTATGATTGTTCGGGACAGTCATATTAGACTGAAGACCGCGGATGCCTATCTATAGCATTCATTGGTTGGCAGTTGTACTATATCATGAAATCAAAGAAGTTACAATTCATGGATCAATAAATGGTCAACAGGTCGCCCTTCACAACCTGAAAGTCCTGTATTCGATGCCCAGCCATTTTCGTCGGTGTGGATGGAAAATTCATTGAATGCTCCATGATTTTCAGTAATTCTCTAGTCGACTTGGTTGTTAATTTTCAAGAGTGTTAATCTGAAAAACAATAAACACACTGAAAAGTATGAAAATATGAGCTGATTGCACATCAGTGTTTCAACACTTGAAATGTTGAGTACAAAGGTTAAGCGAAGAATAACTTAAAGTTATTTTTGTTTTTCTAATTATTTTTCAATTTAATTCTCAAATTTTTCATGATATTTTTTTTCTGATATGTTATAAAACAATAATAATAATAAAAACAATGATCAACCAATTACTCGTTAAAATCGACCTACAATTATCATTATATGGACAAAGGTCTAAATGGGTTACTCCATCGAATTCACATATATATATATGCATGTATATTGGTTGAAATTTTGACTAATCATTACTATACGGCGAAATGAGAGCTCTGCTTTTAGTCAGCCTGTTAACTGCTTTAACACTTGGACAACAACACTTGGATAAAGAGTTAGAAGAAATTTGGCGACAATGGAAACTGAAATATAACAAAGTCTATTCAACTGCTGAAGAGGAAGTTAAACGTCAAGCTAATTTCATGAAACGTGTTGCAAAAATTCAACAGCACAATCTGCGATATGATTTAGGCTTAGAAGGATATACAATGGGATTAAATGAATTCTGTGACAAGGAATGGGAAGAAATTAAGGCTGTAATGTTTCCAAAAACTCTTGGGAATAATCCTCTATGGAATGATAAAGAAGAATTGGAATTTTCAAATAAACCATTACCATCGAAATGGGATTGGCGAGATCATGGGGTAGTTACATCAGTTAAAGATCAGGTAAGTCTGTGTATATGTGTGTGTTTGTATGAGATACACTGACAATGTGTTATTTCTAGGGTCGTTGTGGATCATGTTGGGCATTTTCAGCTTGTGGAGCAATAGAAGGTCAATTGACTAAAAAGCATAAGAAGTTGACAAGCCTATCAGAACAACAGTTGGTTGATTGTAGTCGGGGTTTCGGGAACGATGGATGTGATGGTGGTCTGATGGATCTAGCATATATGTATGCAGAGAAATATGGCCTTGAGTCAGAGAAAGACTACAAATATAAAGGAGTGGTGAGTGAAACTTTAATTCCCCCTTTTGTCTCACATGAATGTTTTCAATACGTCTGTCTAACAATAACTCCCCTGTTATACACTTCATATACTTCAACTATTTTGTTTCTTCTTCCAGGAGGATAGATGTCACTATCGCAAATCGAAGTCAGTTGTAAAAGTGAAGAAATTTGTTGACTTGCCGTCTGGAAATGAAAAGACACTACAGAGAGCTCTATATGAACATGGACCGATTTCAGTTGCTATTGACGCAACGGATGATCTTTTAATGTACTCGTAAGTTTTATTAATGAGTCTGTGTGTGATGCTTATGATCTCATAGAATAGCTTTAATTTCCAGTATTGTATACTACTTATATATATTGAATTATTTAGTAGTCATTGATTTCACTTTTGTTTTATTTTAGGAGTGGAGTTTATGAATCAAAAGAATGTTCACCATATTTAGTTAATCATGGTGTGCTAGTAGTTGGTTATGGTACGGAACACGGCAGAGATTACTGGCTAATTAAGAATAGTTGGAGTGCTAAATGGGGCGCAAAAGGTTACTTTAAACTGAGAAGAAACAAGAGAAATATGTGCGGTGTTGCATCGAATGCCAGTTATCCAATTCTGTAATTGGCCTATGAAATATAATTTGAAATTTTAAAATAAAGTAGAATTTTATGTTTTGGCATTTTGGTGTTTTACTTCTGACACAAAAATTAAGCGGTAACTAGACAAGTGTAGGTTCATTTCTTGATAGTATTGGTGGGTCTTTTCGTTTTACACAATCAATCCTCCATTCAATTAGCTTTGAAAGGGATACTATCGTTCCTATATTTACTGACTAGGTACTTGGTGGAGTAGAACTTTTGAACAAAGGCAGCCACACTTCTAAGAATTACATACAAGAGTAGGGAAAGACCACAATGGGCAACAATGCGTAAGAGAGGAAAGAATCAGGAAAAAAACTATGAAGGATTACGCACATCTGTGTCACTGAGAATGTCTTTTATCCATGCCAACACTGGTCTCTAGACATTGATACTAGGCCTCCCATAGGTATTAACCATGCAGTCTGTATTCCGCTACGTGACTCATACTAGTAGCGCATAGATCTTCGTGGTTTGATTCGTTTCACCACACCCAACGTTTCTTAATTAACCTAAACTCATGTGGGTTAAAATTGTTCTGCGAAGAAGGTGATTACGGTTAAGTAAGCGTAGCACTTATCCTGGCCAAATCGACTGGTGGAGCTTGACAACCCTGTCAATTGACTTTTTCTACAATCAAACTCATTATTACTGGTCACACTGCATTTGAGGAGACAACAGGTTGAACGCGCCTGTTTCACAGCAGTAAAGTAGAACTGTGCAGTTCACCTCTCCTCTAATGAATGAACAGCACCAAAGATGACACACAGTCAAGAAATTTCAAACAAGTCCTTTATGTTTGTATATGGGATTCTGTCAGTAATCATTCCATTATAGATAACGCAACTTTTGATATAAGTGAAGCAGTCAATTCATTCAAACATTACACTCTCTATCCTTTAACTAGGAGTCAATGCAGATGAGTTCTTTGTGGCAATAATGAATTTCATACATTTATTCCCCTTAATGAATTTGAAGAAAGCAAGAACTACAGTTTTAGCAAAATAAAATGGTACCATCTTTTATTTCGTTGCCTTCTCGTCAGCTGCTTATAGGGCAAAGACATTATTACATGCATCTACAAAAACAATTTTAACATACTTGCACAGAGTTCATTTTAAACAAAAATCAATCGATCAATATATGCACACACTAATAATATATACATATATATGCAATATTAAAACTATTCCGAACAATAACAATCATACACAATGAAAACTTTTCAGCATCTCGCACTCGGATGAAAAATATCCAGTTACCAGGGCAAAGAGAGACTGATAACCGCTTCTTTCTGAACGCATAAATCAGGTTTCAGGCGCTTGATGGAAATGGCTTCAGCAAACTTGAGGACAATTGAGCTCTTTTACTTATTGATGATTTTGAACGACTTTTCGACGTCCACCTCATGACCCGTGTCGAGGAGATGCCTGGCGACGGCACTGTTTGAAGCATTTGTTCCTTTTAGACGTAAGCTTTTTGGTACACGTTCAGAAAATCGTAGATATGCCCTTCTTTCTGTCCTTCCAATGTAACTGCTCCCGCAGATACATTTAAATTTGTATATTCACTTGGAGGCTATCTATCGATTTTTGATTACATCAAAGAGCATGTTGTTCGATAGACGGGAACGAGCTTAGCTGCAGGATAGACTATGGCTAGTGATGTGCTCAGCCTCCTGTTGATCATCGCTGCAATGTTTTCACCTGTATAATCAAGCTCAAAGTAGACCGGCTTTTTTCCTACTGTGATTTGCTTTTCATTTGTGACTTCAAATCTTCCATACTTGTTGATGAACCTTTGACGGTACCCATTGCTCTTCAATATCTTTTCAACAAACTCAAATTCTTCCTCTAATTTCTCTAGAGAGCATATTCTCCTCGCTCTATAGCACAGAGTTTTGAATAAACCACGTTTAAAGCCATTTGGACAAAAGTTATTAAAATGTAAGTATTGTCCTTTCCATGTGGACTTTCGATAAATTGACTTTTGAAGACTACCGTCTTCTAGGCGTTTCATGGCGATGTCGAGGAAGTGGAACTTCCCGTCACTTTCATGTTCCATAGTGAACTCAATATTGGCGTGTGCATCACTGAATAATCTCAGTAAGTGTGAAGCATGACTTTCATTTTTGCACACTATAAATGTGTCATCAACGTATCGACAGTAGGAATTTGTTTCGTCGATTGCATGCTTCAACTTTGTTCTCTCAAGGTTGGACATGAATATATCTGCTAAAACAGGGCTAAGTGGACTGCCCATAGCTACACCATCTATTTGGCGGTAAAGAGTGTTGTCGAATTGGAATTGCACATCCATGGTACACATTAGCAGTAGGCGTTTGAATTCCGACTCTGGTAGTGCGAGAAGATCAGACTACTGACAAATGATCTCAATAATGAATTTGACAGAGAAGAGTTGTATTCCAGCTATGATTAGATATCCGTTTAAGAGGACAGTAATGTGAACAAGACTTCTCCTCGTTAGTAATTCAATCTATAAAACATGAAAGTCAACTTAGGTCACATCCAATACCGCATCTGTAATGTAATTTAATAGGAATGGTGACGATGGGTACCCTTGATGGACATGATTAGTTGTCATTACTTCAGAGGAAAGCCCTCCATACTATCTTATACAGATCCTTCAGCTCAGTCAAAGTGTAATGTTTAGCATAATTTTCATCTAGGGCCAACACTTCACCGTGAAACTTCACCACAACACCTCTCTCTCTCTTGACAAAGTTGAGCCTCATATTGAGGTCAAAAATCACAAAAATTGTTGGATGCCAATAGTTATTCTTGTATTCCAGAACTTAATGAAAGATAATGCCTAAGCTTAGTCAACCATGGACATCACTGGTATCATACCATCAACTCTGTCCCCTTTCCTTGATTTTCTATCACAGACTGCTTTTCCAAACTCGACTACCGTCACAAATTCGATGTCCATTTGACGCTTAGGCTGAGCAATTGTGATGGGAGCTTCAAACCAACTGAACTACCTCGAGAAGTTCTCTATCTGAGCACCTGGACATCTTTCCCTAGGAATTATCGAACTCCCTTACTAACTTACTACAAACGCTTAGGCTTCCTACTCTCGACTAACTTAGGTAATTTACCTGCATTATCTATTTTTTAAGGCTTCTTTTTCCTTGGATATGATCAACCACCTTTTTTTTTATCAGTCGTTTGCAAAGGACGTTTGTCAGGCTATATCTAAGCATCTTTCTTTCTTCACCATATTCACAGCCTACTTGGATTAGTCTCCTTGCATCAGTGATTCTGGTTTAGGCTACTGAAGATGATTTCCAGTGACTGTCATTAACATTTGACTGTAAGTTATCAATCATTTCATTCAATTGGTGTGGATGGCAGCAGTTTCAGCCTTAAGTTGAGAGAGTCCTGAACTCCATCAACTGCGTAATACTCATATTCATATATTAGAATCAAATAACTGTACCCTGCTACTTGTTTCCCTAACTGAAACTAGACGTTTACTAAGTCCATGAAGAGCATTGAAGAGAGTAATGGGTCCCAGTCAAGCAGGATATCAGTAATATAGAAGTTTGTTTACTGAGTCTGCTGGCATTGAAGCTGACTACAGAATTGATTACCTTTTATGAACAGAATGGCGAGAATCGGCAGAAGTTAGGATTCGGGTGGGGGGCACTGGATTTCGACCTAGCGGTTATAAGTCCAACGGGCCTACTCCATATCCTGTAGGTCATGCGTCTGATACTTGATAGGATAGGGGACACACTCTGTTGAATACACATAAACCACGACAAGACGGCGATCCATTGCTGTGTGGTTTCCAATGGTTCTCGAACTTGGTAACACAGTTGTTCTCATTCCTGTACGCCACTTATACTCTTTATGACAGGTAATATAGTTAGGTAGAGATGGAAAACAGTCATTGAGTCTCTATCTATTGAATCAGCAGCAGACATGTGTAGTGGGAATAACCCAACACCAATCCCGGATATCAAAACTGATCACAGACTGCTGTTGTCATTAAGAGAACCAGTATAGACCAGGGGATATTTAACAGATGTTTCACCCGTCGTGTATGACTTTTCATCGGTGCCCACCATGACTTCATGGGGGATTGAACTCAGGGCTTTCAAGTAAGAAGGTGGACTCACTGACCATTCAGCCACTAAAGCTGGATAGAATGACTCATGAGTTCTGAATTCAGCCAATTCGTAATACACTGTCAGTTTGTTTTCCCACTTATCAAAATGGATGTAAAGACATATATATATATCCAGAATAGCACCACAATGCTGTTCCGTTCGAGGTGATAAGCTCAGCTGTTCATGACAAATAAGTTGAAAAAGTGAGCTGCGTCTATTATCCAAAGACGAACAACATGGGTCAGTGGTGTAATGGTTGGGATACTCACCAATTAGTTGGAGGATTTCATCATGAGCTGACATCAGTCAGTGAACCATTGGAAAGCCAACGCTGGAGTACTGGACAACTGTATCGTCCTAGCTCGGAACTCTACAACAATACGCATCCACCACAGTGGTTCGTACCCTGGACTTTCTGGTTACAAGGCGAGGTCGTAGACCATTAAGCCACTGGGACCCAATCCAACAGCCAACCCATGAATTCCGACTCCTCCCTATTCATGACATAGCGCGACCACTTCTCAATGTCTTCTTCGACGATTTGCTACCTCACCTTCAACCTGATGTAACCTACTGGTCACGGCTTCAAACTACAATGCCAGGTTAACTGCCTGGATAGGGCCAGTTGGTAGTGACCATCAGGTCAGTTTTCAGGTGTTGGTTTTGTAGGGATTTTTGTTTAATTGGTTGAAGGATCTCATCATGAGCTGACATCAGTTAGAGAACCATTGGAAACCTGCTATATAGATAGAATTCATGTTTTGGCCAGTGGCTTAATGGTCTACGAGCTGACTCGCCTTGTAACCGGAAGATGCTGGGTTCGAACCCTCGTGGCGGGTGCGTACTGATGAAGAGTCCCGAGCTAGGACGAAATAGCTGTACAGTACTCCAGTGTTGGCTTTCCA